ATTTTGACTTTTTCTTTAACATTATTTAGAAAGGGAAAGTGAGGTTAAAGTGTTGGCAGCAGTGTTAGTTATGGTTATTACATTCTCAGAAAACTGCAGGGGAACGAGGAGAAAGTCCTAGGTAGGAAATTGTGGCTTCAGCCCCAACTGTTCTGCCACTCTTATCTGTTTCTCTCCAGAATGGAACCATGGGAATTTTTTTTGTGTGTGTGTGTGTGTGTCCTCTGTGTGATTTCTGAGGATGGATTGTTGGAACATGGAACTGCACTATTTTATAGATATCTAATTGTATTAGAATTAGGGTTGGAGGAGGAAAGGGTAGGTGCCAGACCTAGAGTCATCCTGTTAAAGGATTACTCCTTCCACCCCATCCTATCCTATATAATAAAAGCTTAATATGCAAATCAACTGAAGAGCGGGATGACCTGTCACTATGATGCGCACTGAACACCAGGGGGCAGACGTTCAAGCTGGAGCTGCCCCCTGGTGGTCAGTGTGTTCCCATAGGGGGCGTGGCACAAAGCCAGAAGCTGGGCCCATGCTGGTGAGTGCAGTGGTGGTGGTGGGAGCCGTTCCCACCTCCGAGGCAGTGCTAAGGAGCAGTGAGCCGAGGGGTAAGGATTAGTGAGCAGGTGAGCAGTAAGGAGTGAGGGGTCCCGGACTGCAAGAGGGCACAGGCCGAGCTGAGGGATCTCCCCCCAAGTGCATGGATTTCAGGCACCAGGCCTCTAGTATTATATATAGTCAGTCATTTAGAACAGAGGTAAAATACATCCAGTCGACCCAATGGTTTAACTAAAGCTATATAATCCTGTATTTTGTATTTTGTCCCTGAATTTGGGGACCTAGTATATGGTTGTTGGTGCTAAAGTTCGTGATTGTAGTTTCTAATATGCTATAACATATGTGGCACATAAACATTCCTTTTCCAGTGTGCTCTCTCCTCTTTATTATGTTCTTATCTTTTTATTATAGAAAATTTGGTTGATAAACCACCAGGTTGCAAATAGTTACAGTATTCTACACATTAGTGAATTACAGAAAGGGGAAAGTAAAATTGTAGTAGTAGATACGCTTTAGAGATGGGCTAAATAAAGTACCAAATGAATTAGTTGTATATAACTCATGGCAGGGAGTTAAAATTAAGGAATTAAGAGTCTCCTGCTTGATAACACCCTTGACTTGTCAGATTAGGGTCTGATCAGTTACCATATAGGTTTCTGCTTCCGATGCTTCATATAGTGAAAGGAATGAGTCTACGTGGAAAGCTTATCCAAACTTTGGTCTAGAATATTACTCTAGAAGAAAGAGGCAAAAAAGAAACTGTGGAAGGTGTTTGGCAGCGAGCAAGAGAGGGGACTCACAAACTCTTTGAAGGTCAATTAGCCAGAAAATGTGCTAAAGACGGGATGCTGTGCTGGATTACCGGCCTAAGAATTACCCCCAAGGTCCTCAAAGTGGTCCTGCTGCTTGAGCACGAGAGACAATTACAGACCTTGAGGAGGTGCCACAAAAGCTTTAATTAAGGGACTTACTTACACCCCACTAAGTTTTGGAAATTAAATTCTTGTTTGTGCTTAACTGATGTTTCTTTTGTCTGGGCTTCACATGTACCTCTGTATTTCAACAGAAAACAGTTTTCCCCAAACCTGTTTCATGGAAACTGTTTTCCTGGGATGCGTATTATACTAGCAAAGCTGAGTTTAATCTGTGAGAAACTAGAGGCTGTTTGCTGGGGAGCATTTGGGCTCAGGTTGAAACGGTATTTATGCATTTGGTACCCCAGTATCCCAGGGACTCTATTTGGGCTTAAACACATGTAAAAGAGAAAACAAATATGCTTTGTAGAATTTGAATTTTAGAATTCCCATTCCCAGGGCAACATGATTTTCCTTGAATTGGCAACTTGATGTCTCTAGAACACAGCATTGTTTGTTCATGAGATAAAGGTAGCTTTTTGCCATTATCCACCTTTAGATTGATTCTATTCAGATGTGACTTCTCTTACTTCTGGAAAGACTCCGATTTAAATTGCTAGAGCAGGTGATCCATGTGCTTGCATCTGAGCTCAGCCACCTGCCTGCTGACCTGGGACCTAATCCCTGCCTTTCAGGGTACGTTCCCTTTCTTTGTTGGTGAAGCAGTTCTCTTGTCTGCCCTTCTTTGAAGCACTTCACTTCTGCCTGCAGTTTGGTTTGAACCATAAAGGTTTTTGTTTTGTTTTTAAATATATTTTTTTGATTTTTTTTACAGCGAGGAAGGGAGGGGGAGAAAGAGTTAGAAACATTGATGAGAGAGAAACATCAGTCAGCTGCCTCCTGCACGCCCCTACTGGGGATGTGCCTGCAATTAGGGTACATGCCCTTGACCGGAATCGAACCCAGCACCCTTGGGTCCGCAGGCTGACGCTCTCTCCACTGAAACAAACCAGTTAGGGCCCATAAAGGTTTTTAAAAAGCACTAAGAAATGCTGGTGTTTTGGTAATTTTAAATTTTCTTTCAGTATTTCTGGTTCACATACAACATCAGTTAAGTGTTAACTTTTGGGGTCTCTGTACCCCTAGCAAACTTGAAGGTGCTTTTGTGGGAATTTCAGCCTTGCTCTAACTGAACAGAGGACTCACAAAGAAAAATCATAAGAAGTGTTCTTATCCTGATCTGACCTTGTTAGAAATGAAAAATGGCAAGAAAAGTTTAAATTGTCATCACAGGTTAGTGTCTAGTGTTCTACAAAGTGGAGTTTCTACAGAAATCCCATTATTGGGCTCCATTTTCCCGTGTAGGTGGGAAGGAGAGGATTAGCATTGGGTGAGAGGGCCCTTGGTGTCCACTCTATTTGAAGCGGCTCCTCTGTGGTGAAAGTGGCTGGCCCCGGCAGTCTGGGATGCTGTCCTGACTCAGTGGGCCCAGGGCTGGACTGAGAGTTGGATGTTTGTCACTTAGAATATCCTTATACTTGGATATGTTTCAAATAATGCATAATATGAATTTCAGTTTTTGTTTTTTCATAAAGAGGAAAATCATACTTAGTGATACAAATACAGTATTTTTGTTTAACTGAATACCTAACTGGTTAATGAACTATAAAGCAAAGTTTCTCATGCTTGCTAACTAAAGAAGAATATAACTGAATTTTGCTTAAGTGCTGGCTCAAAAAGTTGTTTTATGAAGTAAAAATTGTAAGTTCTTTTCTTTTAGGCTTTATTTTGCTAACACGGTCAGAACTAGCACATCTGGCTTAGATTCTGAAATAGTCTGGTTTTATGCTTTAGTTAAAATGAATCCAATCAAATTGGAGTTTGAAGATGGATAAAAGGAAGGACTTGGGTACAACGAGGATTCTTAAACACTGCAGCGTTCTCAGGGAAAGTCTTGAACATTTCCGTTCTGAGTGGCCTTTAGGAATAAGCTGCTGTCCTGTTCGGCTGGCACAGGTCCTGCAGACGCAGCTCTGCACACACAGGGTGCCGGTGGTGGAGGAAAGGCTTCTCAGCAGCCCTTCCCATGACTCTTGACTATACTACTCACCTCAGTAACTTTATCCAAACTTCACTTACTTGTCGACTTATTTGGAGGGGGAATGGTATTGTCTTTTAAGTTAGACTTTCATTTCTATAGAATTAAAATATGCCTTCTTTATCAGGATTAGCTACTCGTGTCTTACTGAGACTCTACATTGTCAATCCACTTTGGTTTCTGCCCCTCTCCCAAGTGTGGGTTTGTAGCCAAATAATTATGACCTTCAGATGCAGCTCATTGAAATTCTTGCTTTAATAGACAGTGATGCAGAATTGTTTAGTTTGGGGGGGTACTATGAAAAACTGACCACCTTATATTTCAATCAGGTTGCTTTGGGATTATTTAAGGATGATAATTAAAATATTTTTAGGAAGATAAATATCCTTCTGCGCTGATCGGGAAATATGTGTCACCACCCTGTGTTTTTGTGCACAGTACAGCCGGTACTGACCTGACAGTAGCTCCTCCCTCCCCCCCATTTCTGAATTTCTTCATTCTGTTGACCTTGGAGCCATGAGCAGAGACTCAGCAGTTTACCCTTTCATAAATAATGCACTCAGTCTGGAGTGGCAGCTGGAGGCTTGTGGCCCAGCTCTGCTGGGTATTTATAGTTCATGCCAGTAAACGTTTTGGTCGGGTCAGCCAGGAGCTGTGGGCCTGCTACTTTTTCAAGGTGGTGGTGAGAGAAATGAGTTGGCATTTTTAACTTCAGTGGGTAGAGTGTTGATAAACTTCTCGGGCACTGGTCATTCAGTGAACGTGGCATGGGCTGAATGCTTGCTGGCTTGTCTTTAGCTGTTTGAACTGTAAGAACTATTGCTGCTTTGGTAAGACATAGCTGCACACTGGCACTAAGTGAAGGGAGTATGTTCTGTCTGCCATGGAATAAATCAGAGGTCAACCCAGATTCATGGTTTTACAGTCGATGCTCCAACTGCCTAGGAAGCTCCTTTTCTGATGGGAATATGAGTTCTGGGAACAAGGCCCTTGTCTTTTGGTGAAGTACAGCTTGTTTCTCTATGTAGAAGGGGGTGCTGTTTTGAGTAGTAAATAAATTCAATGCAGACTTCTTATCCAGCAAGATTTACTTTGGAAAAACCCGTTTCAAAACAGGTTTTTCGGTGCAAAGTCTCAGTTTTACATTTCCTTTTCCCTTTGTCCTTTTAGGGCCAGTTCTATGTCAGGACACAGTTCCCCTATGCCTTCTCCTGACTGTGGCCCTTCAGCCTCCCTGTCTTCATCCTCCTGCCTGGACCCCGTAATAAAAAACATGGGGCCCTGGCTTTCCTATGTGCCCTATCTTTTCCTCAGGAGGTTCCCATACGCAAAATACTTCTTTTCCAGACTAGAAAGTGTAACAAGCACTCTCATTTCATAGCCAATGGTTTAAAGAAGAATTTTTGTTTTTAACAAGCTTTTAGTGTTAAATGTCTATTGACATGTTTGCGGGAAGAAACATTGATTTTTCCTCTGTCTTGCAGGCCCTGCTTTCTTCCCTGGGCGATGTGCTGAGGTCTTTGCCAGGGGTCAGAGCATTGGCAAACTGGGTGTTCTTCATCCTGACGTTATCACCAAATTTGAGCTGAACATGCCCTGCTCCGCCCTGGAAATCAACATTGAGCCCTTTTTGTGAAGATGGGTCCCTGTGGTGTGGTTCTCTCCCTGAGTGTCCTTTAGTTGTCCCCACCAGGAAGGTTGAATAAAGCAGAAAGCACTGTCTACTCTTTGGTAGATACCGCCCATTCTCCACATCAGGCCACTCATGCAAACACGAATGTGGTGTTTGGGTGAAGCTTCATTGTTTGGCAAAAGCCCGGCGGTGCCAGAGGGTGGGATCCATTCTGGAAACCAAAAATGTTCCGAGGCTCCATGGGCAGTAACTGCTGCTGCGGAGCAAGCCCCATTCTCCCCAGCGATGAGACAGGATGGCTGATTAGAACGCACATTGGATGAATGTGATGTAGCAGAGGGTGTGAAGTTTTCATTTTCTACATTTGACTTGTGTTCTTCCTCGGAGAACAATAACAGCATTTTTAGAAAATCTTTAGAAGCAGTGACGACGGTCCAGTAGTAACCTCTGAGGTCACTTTAAAGTGAAGCACAAATATACACAACACAGATATTCAAAATATGTGAGCATACACAGGTTATTTTCTCTGCTGCTCAAGAGTTAGAGGACACGCAACACAGACCTGTCTGCTGGCAGAGTTAAAAAGGACAGGTTGATATTGTTGCACCGAGAACATTAGGAAACAGTGAAAACCACTATTGCCTTGGGCCATACATTTTACTATAATCACTATTGTAAAATCAGGATTTTAAATACTTCATCGAGCTACTAGTTTCTATCTTATTTTATAGGGAGGCATTAGATCCTTGAAGTTAAGCTTCTGCCAGTTTGCCTTACCTCCCACTGCAGGATACTTGAAGAATCCTGCAGTAAGTACCATCTATTGAAAAAAAGCTGGGACTAATGTTGGAGAAAAACACTCAATTACTATTGATATGAAATAATAAAATGTAAAACTTGAAAGTTAGGTAGAAATAGCCAAGAAAGATCGACTTAGAACTATGTTTATGGCCTTTTTGCTGAGTCTATGTCTAGGAAAAAACACAATCAATTACTACCTCAAATTTTAAAAATGAGATATGCTCATAAAAAATAATGCTTCTCAGCAGGTTTGTATTCAGCATACATAAAGATTTCTTACAACTTAATATAATAACAACTCAGTTTTTTAAAAAATGGACAAAAGATTTGAAAAGACATTTCCCCCAAGAAGATAAAAGGAATAAACACATGAAAAGATGCTCATCAGGCAAATACAAATAAAAAATCACAATACAAATTAAAATGACTAAAATTGGAAAAACTGATTGTACCAAGTGTTGGTGAGACTGGAACTTGCATGCATTGCTAGTGGGAATGAAAAATTACATAGCCATTTTGGGAAATAGTTCCGCAATTTTATAAAACATGAAACCTACACTCACCTAGCCATTGTATTCCCTGGTTTACCCGTGTGGGCATACAAAGATTTTTATGCACTACTCACACAGTGCTATTTATTGTAACCACAACCCAGATAGTCATCAGCAGATGGATGGATAAACAAATTACAAGTTGTAATATATCTGAATATAGTATATAAAATACTTGGGGGGGAGGGGGAAGATTGAACTGAAACTTAACAAATGAATTTACCTTAGCACTGCTAAGTGAAAGAAGGCAGACACAAAAAGACTACTTGTATGAAGTTCTAGAAAGTTAAAGGACGATGGGTTGGCAGGAGTTCGTGGAAGGGGACTGACTGCAAAGGGTTAAGAGGAAACCTGGGAGATGGAAATATTCTATACCTTAATTCAGGTGGCCATTAACACATACTTCCGTAAAGCTGGGAGAAAAGTTAATGCATCTTGTATTTTAATAATTTTGTGCAACGCCAGCAGATGCATGCCCAGGGTAAAAAGGGCATGTATTTTGGAGTTGACAGGGTTGTTCAAGTTGACATTCGCCCCTAATTTTAGGTTTACTGTGGTGAAATCATGGTTCGTGGGTCATTTGATAGCGGTTGTCAGTGGGTCGAGCCATTTGTTCTGTTAGCCAGACACCTGGGTACTTTTTGGATGGTTAGAAAGAAGTTGTAATAAAAAACCTACTGATACCTAATTTTATATCCCAGCATGAAAGGGGAAAGACCAATGCCATCCATCATGTGGATGTTTTTGCCCTCTGAAACAGGAAACAGTAGGAAGAAAAACAGTAGTATTGGTACCTCAAAAGAAGAAACCAGCCTTCAGCTTAGAGTCAGGCCTCTCTAGCCAGATCATCTTACACTCAGACTGTCCCGGGTGAGGTCTGACCGGAGCCAGAGCAATCTGTGGGCACTGCTGAGGGGCCGTTGGTGGAGGAGACGCACGCCTTCTTGGGAGGAAAATACAATTGATGCTTTCTCTCAAAGGTAACTTCTACTACAACCTGACAATCTGCATGACTTTATAAAGTTTTTTTCCATGTGATCTTCAACATTTTAATATTTTTAGTTTTTTAGTTATAGGAGGTAGGTAAAATAGGAATTCTCCCTGATTTATAGAACAGTCAGTTGTTGGAGAGATTCACGGTGTGCTCAGAAGTTACGTGGTTAACAAGTAGGACTGAGCTATTAAAACTAACTTGGAATTCACTGATCATTCAGTTTTACTTGTTAACGTTACTTATCCAAAGTGTTGAGATATTTTTATGCTTTTTTAAAATATAAAAAAAATACTAAAAAACAAAATGTTAAAAATCTTAATGCCTCTACTTTAAAAAAATGAACAAAGGAAGGCCTTCTGAAGCTAATGCACCCTTCCTCCCCAATGCCCTCAATTTAGCTTGTATTTCTGACATTTCCCTTGTTTGGACAGTCAGCCACACACATGCTCAAAGTTTGTGGGTCATGCTCTATTTACTGCTTTCTATTTTACCTACTGCATCTCCTGATACTACATTTAATATGTCCAATTTTTCCAGCTCAATACCTACAGACCTACCTCATTTGAGAGAAGGCAATATTCTGTGTTACAGATGCCCATAATTTGATCAGCTGTTGATGGACATTATTGTTTCCAACTCTGCATTCACAAACAGTATTCCAATGGACTTCTCCATAGCTCCCTCTAAATAGCACTGGCTTAGGGAAACCTCCCCCCCCCCCCCAAAAAAAAATAATAGTCCTAAAGCTGCAAGCCTACAAACATTCGCATTTGCCAGCTGATGGTCACATTCACAAATGCATGGGGTTACATAGGTCTCTTAGGTGTGACTGGTGCTTGAGCAGTACATTATCCCAGGAGGTTCGATTCCTAGGTGTGCTGGGGATGGCAGGCGAGTACCTTTACTCTCTACACTGCTGCTTGGCCCTCAGCAACCATGGCTCCTCGGGTTGGTACAGACACTGCTCACAATCTCACTTCTCAGTCTTTGCTTGTTTTCTAGAAACATCACTAACCAACCCCAATTCTTGGGTATTAATTGGCTCTTTTATAAAAAAAACAGACTGGTGGCCTTAAAAGGACACAACTGCTTTCAGCAAAATATACCCTCTTAAGTGACAAACTTGACACACCGGATCTCTCCCAAGTATGGCTTATGTTAATAAGGAATTAGAATAACTATATTACTTGGGGGGGTAAGGGGAGGAGGCTACCATATGTAATAAAATCAAAGCTACAGCACACTACTGGGATGGGCTGCGAGCAGCCCTGAGGCCCAGACTAAAGTCGATGGGCAAGGACCGTGCCAGTCAGCCACAGGAAAGGGCAAAGCAGACCCACAAGGATGCCAGTCTCCGTGGCTGCTGGTGTAGTTTCAGGTATCCACCTCTCCTTGGGCTTTCCGGTAAACAGAAAGGGTGACTGTACATACCAAAAGCGAGACTGTGGGTTGAACAAATACCTCAGCAAAGGATTTAATTGAATTATGCCTAGTTAGAGCCCTGTATGTTTATTCTCATGACCAATGTTGTGTGACCAATGCTCAAGTTTCTCATTCTTCATCCGTAAGGTTTGGTCTTGATTATCTCTATTGAAGGAAATCAGAAACATGATGTGATCCTGTATTAGAAACACTGAAAAGTCCCTCCAGTGTCAGGAGGCACTTGCAAGAGAGAATCATTGTAGCATTCAGATGACATGGAGCAAATCCATCCTTTAGGACAGAAAAGGTTATGTGCCTGTGTGATACTAAACTTTATAGCAAAAGAAATTTTCTACCTTCCACAAGTCACAACTTTTGGTCGTGAGGCATGAAAATATGCCTGTCCCCCAATAAGCACCTGTTTAGAGCCAGCAAGAAACCAGTTGTCAAGGATGCACAGCTGGTAAACATCTGCACTGTGCTGGATGTGTGCTAGGTAAAAGACCAATCAAGATGGGTGGGGTTTCTTAGCTGTGTTGGGCAGAACATTTAAATAAGGAGCACCGGGGTTATAAGCTCACACAGGCCAGAGAAAGGAACCCTCAGAAATCAGGAGGCCCTCAGAATGGTTTTTGCCTCAGTGCTGGGAAAACCCAACTTTAGACTAAACATTACTCTTCATTCTAATAAAGCTTACAAACAAGACCCGGAAGAATCAAACTAGCTCCAAGTAATGAACTGCAGCCCAGAATAAACCTTTTGAATACTAGTATTTATAGTGATAACAAAGATATCTAGCATCCAGCTATATATAATTCACATTACCTGTTATCCAATAAGAAATTACTAGGCAAGCCCTGGCCAGGTAGCTCAGTTGGTTAGAGTGTCATCTTCATAAGCCAAAGATTGCAGGTTCAGTCCTCACCAAGGCACATACAAGAAACAACAAATGAATGAATAAATAAGTGGAACAATAAATTGATGTTTCTCTCAAATAAAAATGTTTTAAAAATATCTAGGCAAGCAAAGAATTTAGGAAATACAGGCCTTAATGAAGAAGGGGTGAAATATGAAAAACTAAAACTGGCATAGGTGATAAAATTAATAGACGGATATTGTTATAGTTTGTATTTTGGATGTTCAGGGAGCCAAAGGAAAGACTGAACAAGTTGAGACATGGAAGATGAATGTTTTGAATTCTTAGAAAACAAAACTCTGATGCAAGAGATAAAAAATAGATACTGATAAAAATAATACTAATGATATTAATAGCAGAATTGATTTCATGAAAAGTTTACATTAAATTGTTTGACCCCTACAACAAAGATAGCTTTCTAGCCAAATATTTTATCAGTATCCAATTAAGACACTAAGCTGATCTGTGTTTAGTGTGTCCTGTGCCTAGTGGCTCCTCTCACAGCGCCACCCACCTGGTTCCCATGTGACCAAGAGACTCATTTGGACTCACAGATACAGGTAGGTGGCGTGTCACCCTGCCCCGCCCACAATTTGAGGTTTACTTTGTTAAAAAGCACTGACATTCTTTGAACGCTCCAGCCAAGGGGACCCCGAAATCACAGCAAGAGAGAGCAAGGCCAGCAGATGTTTGGAATGGGCGTGAAGAAGCCTTCCGGCCGGGGCTCCCAGGCCCTCCTTGCTCCCCTGTTTGTTTTTGCATGCCATCTAGACAGGCGTGGAAAAGGAAAACGGATTTTGGGCTTCACAGAGCTCCCTTGTCTCATGTGGCTACAGTTTTTAGAATGTAGCATTCTATTCATGGTTCACATTCACTCTCATTCTTCATATGCATCCAGCACATAGAGTCTGCACTACAGGTTCGCCCTACTTCAAGAAAATGGGTGCAAGACACAACCACATTCATTAAAGAGCATATAATTTTTAAACCACAAATCCCTCGGTATACTTAAGATTCAAGTTTTTAAAAAAAAATCTGAACACAGGCAGCTTTTTGGAAAATATTCTCTAAAATGAGATAGATGTCTACGTCCCTATTCAACTTGGTCCTGGCCAGCCTCTTACTTGAGCCAATATCATTATCATCATTCAGTCAATATCATTAAAGGGACATGAAGTCCCTCAAAGAGCCTGGCTCATGGAAAAAATATTTTTAAGTGCAGTCCCATAACATTAGTGCAGGGAATTGAGCCAAGAGAGGAGGGAGGGAAGGCACTGGGCACATGGATTGAGTCCCTAGTTGCCGTCACCTCTGCTCAGAGCCAATTGGACACGGGAATGAGGCTGTGTCTGAAGTTCAGAGCCGGCAGAAAATAGAGTCTAAAATCAATGCCAGAGGCCACCTCTGGAATGGCCCCACGTGGATGCAGGAAATGCACCGAGGGCCTTCTCAGCCTTCCTCCCTGTTCCTGTGACTTGGTTCTGCAGTGTCAAAGGCCCTTGCTGACCCTGACACCACCGTTATTGCTGCACCATCGCCAGCCCTGACTTGGTGGGCTTCTCTTTGTGAGAGCTGGGTGGAAGGATCTGAGGAAGGGTCTCTGACACGCTGAGCCTCTGTATCACTTTGTGCCTGCTTCCCATCACATCCCTGTGCAAACCTCCCGCTCGGGCTCTCCTCCTGCAAGTCTGTCTTGAGTTGCTGCAACCCCAAACTGGAATTAACCCATACCGTGCGGATTGAGAGGAGAGCGGTTAATTCCAGTTTGGAGGCTGCAGCCTTAACACTTTGGAACTTGAATCATGATTCTGAGCACATGTCTGCTCTCCTGAGCATACGGCACAGGGCAGTCGGGGTCTCATCCTGCCGCCCATGCCCAATGCGCCCGGCCTATTCAGTGTTAAATACATACCTTTCAAAGCAAAAATAGGATTCTAGCCTTAGCCTTGCAAATAAAGGTGTCAGCTTTCCGCACCATTTCAAATTGCAAATGTGTGATGTTTGAAGACAGAGCACATCATTGTAAAAATGTGAAATTGGATCATGTCTGTTTGGTTCTGCAAATAGTGTACTCATCTGTGAAAACCCTTTAGTTAACTAGCAACACCTATAACATTTACCTTTCAGCACAGTGACATTTATGTGTAAATACGGTACAAGGGTACTCTTTAGTATCAAGGAGTTAGAGGGTATGTCTGCACGCAAACACAACATCTGTTACCTCTGAGACACGCCTCCAACACTTGCCTGTGATTGAATTAAATAAAGAATTATCTAGCCTGCCGAATATCTTTGCCCCCTCTAACTTAGGTCCAATGAACCCTGGGGAAAAAAAATTTAGGGGGGAAAAAATCTAAGGGTGCAGAAACTTTTTTTTTTTTTAAAGCACTAAGTCATGATCAAATAAATGATTTTATTTTTTAAAGGATACATTTACATATCGATACATAAGCAAGACATCAGAAACTTCTAAAATAGCAGAGCCTGAACCCGCACAGGCTTCGGTGATACTCGGGAGCCATTGGTCCCCTATTTGGGAGAGAAAATCCCACATTTCAATGTGACCACCCAGCATGCTGGAGAGTGAGTTCAGTCTCCCTCGTTCAGGGCTCTCTTTTTATATCTCTCTCTTCTGTGTATCCTGTTATGGTATAGGTCTGAGTGAAACTGGCATGAAAGGACCACTATTCAGAGTGATGGTTACAGAGTGGTGGTGGGTGGGGAGCGGGTAGGAAAGAGGGGTATTTTCCCACCTGGCTCCTGAGGACCAGGATCCCAAGGGCTTTGGGGTCACAGGTTCCAAACGCAGGGTTGGCCACACCCCAGATCTTCAGCTTCTATTGGATACATCACTGCGAGCTGGATTTTTAAAGTTCCTTTTTATGTTGATGGTAGTTGTATTTTTTCAAATTTCTGCATCCTATTAAATATTCTGAAGTAATTGCTTTCTTAAAATATATATATATCATTTTTAAAGTTCTCAGTCTTCAAGATTCCAGACCAAGAGGGACTTTGGACCAAGACTGATGGGAAACCAGCAGGGGGCAGTCTTTCCCAAGAGAGAAAATCTCAATGCCTTCCCATAAACCAAGGCCAACTCTGAGGGGCACGTGTGGGTGTGAGACTGCAGCTGTGGGAGCAATGGATGGAGGGCTAGCACAGCAGGAGCTCAAAAACTCAGCGTGGCCTCATCCATGCATACTCCTGACTCCCCAGGAGCTGTGATAAGAAACTTGAAAAAATCATTGACTGTGTCCAACTCCTGGGCCATTCTTTAATGTGCTGTCGCTCAATCCAAACTGGGCACACATAGCCTTAACTACACAGTATAGTTCACGGGGCTTCATTCAGTTGGCACTTATCACAGAAGAGACAGTAAAAATTTTTACACGCACATGAATGAATTGCCAATGCCACTGCTGTGACAACTGATACAAGTGGCAAAGGCTGATCCTTTTGTGAGGTGGCTTCAGAAAGATCACCTGAAATCAGTTTGCATAATTACCCAGTTGGGTTTTTGAGGGGCGAGGGTGGTGGTGGAATTACAGGAAAGTGCCTCATCCATTGCAGGTGGGGGGTGTCCATCGGTGGGACTCTCCCCAGTACTGTCCCCCAATCCTGGTGCAGCTCTAATCAATTTGATGTAAAAATGTCAGAATAGTCAAATGGCAGCCATTTTCATTCTGCCTTCTAACTATGGAAAACATGAGAAGAATTTGAAGGAAAAACAGGATATTTTACTAAATATTATTCTCAGGAAACTGGAGCAGCAAGTCAAATACAAGAGGTCATTCCAGCAACGAGGCTGGGGACCTATTGGAGAGAGGGACGAAGGAGGTTTCCGTTTTCATGCTGGATACGGAGGTGAGGAGCCTGACTTTGTCCCCACACAATGAGCACAGCGAAGCTTGTTGGAGTCCTACGTCACTGCTTCCATGGCACAGGCACTGGAGTGCAAAGCAAACTTTAACTACAGGTATGTTCATTTTTGAGAAAATTGTGGCTACCTGTTCCTTACTCCTAACACGTGGAGAGGAGCCCTGCTAGAGAGCCCAGTGTTTGAGTAATGGTTACCTTCCTGGTCTCCTGGGGACACACCCTCGGTGTGAAGGCTGTTATGTTTGGTTGGCTTGTTTTCCCAAAAGAGGCTGAAGTTATTCTTGCATTAATTATCCTTAAAATTGCCAAGAGAAAAGAGGTGAGAAGATGGAAAGGGAGGCCCAGATTCTATTTAGTAGATGAGAGATACAGATTCACAGAAAGTAGCAGAAATGGAGGAGCCATGTCAGGATGGGGCAATGTCCTGAGGGTGAGTCCCTCTTGTTAGGCTCCTGGGAGGAGTATGTTCTCTGTCCCTCCACTGGTCCACTTTTACATGCAGATGACAGCTTGTAAGAAGCAAAAAAAAACTGGGATGGCCAGAGGGCGTATCCCAAGTCACTCTGAAGTAGGAGAGAGCAGGACATTGGAGAAGCCCAGCTGGGCCCGCTTTAATGAGGGCTAAGCCCTCCTGCCTGGAGCGGTGGGAGCAGCCAGCTGCTTCTCTGGGTCAGGAGTGCAGTGATGGCATCTGGAATTCTGCAAAATGTGCAAACAAGGAGGAGCAGATCCCTGTCTCAATAGTCATGCCTACAGAGACAGGGATGTGTGAGGGGAGCAGGCCCTTGCCTAGAACCTCTTTGCCCACCCTTCAGGGCATCACAGTTAGCTCTGTGCCCACCCTTCAAGGCATCACAGTGAAGTCTGCAGCGCTCTTACCTCCCAATTTGATCATTCTGACAAGAAAGTCACCCTCAGGAATGCCCTTCCACAGGGTGCCTCCCGGACCAAAGATCCCAGTTGGGAAGTGAGACTCAAGTGCTGAGCCCAGTCATAACTGGGAAGAATGCTCCATCTCCAGTCTCCAGACCTGCCATCTCTCCAGAGCCCAGTGGGGTCCGAGGTTGTTCCTAAATCGCCCGCTATTCCTGCTATCCCCTGACTTGGTCTAGAGTCCCAGCTAGCAGACGGGGTGGGGACCTTCAAAGAGCCCGACAGTGGGTTTAGCCTGGCTTCACCTGCCGCGTGACCCTTCCAGACTAGAGGCTCCAAGAGACAACTTCCCTTCCACACAGCACCGGCGTTTATCACGGGTATCAGCAAAACAGACATATGACTTAAAGGATTTAAAAAAAAAAATAAAATGTGTTGTCAAGACTTGCCCACCCAACAGATTTCCTAGTCTTGGCTCTTGTCCAACGGGCTGATTTCCAAGTGCCCGAGGCTCAGAGTAATCCCAGAAACCTGTGCAGCATGGGCACAACGGTGGTGGCACAGATGCCAACCGACGTGTAGGTGACAAACTTGTAAGGCACTTCGATCTCCAGCCTCCGCCGGGCCTCCTTGTTCCTGGTGACCACCTTGAACCAGGAGTACAAGACTTGCAGCGAGAGATTCTGGACTACTTGCCGAACCAGGAGGATCAACACAATCCCCACCATGAATTTGGTCAGGCCCAGAACCAGCATGCCCGCGGTGAGCGGGGGGATGTGCTGGATGACAGGCAGAGCCTCCGTGGGGTCGGCCACGAGCTGGAAGAAGTGGTTGATCCAGAACCCGGTGGTCACCCCAGCCCCTGCGGCCACGATGGTGGTGGTGTCCGCCCTGGTGGGGCTGTAGAACTCGGACACGGGGTAGTTGTAACACAAGAAGAATGGCACCACGATGGCACACACGGGGAAAAGGGGGCTGGCCGAGCCCAGGCGGTCGATGAGGGTCCAGGCGGGGTAGGTGAGGACGATGAGGACTGCGGTGATCAGGATGCCGCCCAGCACATCCTGCGGGGGAGAGAAGAGCCAGTGAGTGCGTCCCTGTGCGCCGGCAAACTTGGAGTCAAATATGGCTGACTTGATACTTGAAATGCACAATTTTCACATTGTTTTATTTTTTTTAGTACGTGTTTGAGAAATGGAAAGTGGTAAAAATTATAGGAAAGATACAACAATCACGCTATTCACGTTATGCATTTTCTTCCAGTGTTTCTGTCTTTTGGAAGAAATTCTGTGTTTGTTTTCTTAATGCCTAGCTTTGATCACATTGTTCTTGCAATCTGCTATTACTTTTTACTTAAATTTATGACAAGAACTGCCATGGCCTTCACAGGCTGGAGGGGGAAGGAGCCACAGTCACACAGCAGCAGCCACTCCTTGTCACCTACACGGTGTGTTGAGGAGTCGTTTTGGCTGTGGTGGTACCGAAGCTCCACCAGGACACAAACTCCCTGAGGGGCTGTTCTTTGCTTGACTTAATCCTTCTTTAGAGCATTTTAGTTCTTCTCCCCCATTTTTCCCTGTCTCCTTTCCTCTCATCCTTAAATGCCTGTTAAAACATCTTTAACTCCTTAATGTCATCTGCTTTGTTTTTCCTTTAGTGTTCCCATTGCAAACTTTATTAGAAATGAAGTCAATGTAATTAATGGACGAATACATCTACATCAGAATAAGGAGCTTGCTATGGTTTTGTTACAGTTTCACGTAGATTATTTTGAGAGTTTACTGGTTGAAAAATGTAAAATGTTTCCCCCAGTGCACTGGAAAATCTGGAAGACACCAGAAAGAAATACATATGCATTGTAGATAATCTGGGAAACACCGAAAAGTGTAAGAAAAAAAAAATAGATCCTTCATTATTTCTCTTGGAATTCTTGGAAGATGTTCTTTCTTCTTCTGAACACTGTTCCCTGTGGATGTACACCCTTTTATTTAGCAGATCTTTAATATTTCCACTACCTAGATCCAGCCTTGACTATATTCTGACATCTTGCTTTCCACTATGTTTTTCATATAATAGAATTCTAAAGGCTTGGTCTTTCATTTTATAATTTCACTACTTTTCTTGCTTAGCTCCTAATGACATCTCAAACAAGGGGTGAGAATTAAACCTTAGGAAAAATCACTGGGGCTACAGTAAATTTCAGGATGAATGGGCCTGAAGTTCTGCAATTCAAGAGGGAATGAGGCTAACGTGTGTGTATCTTGGTGGTCCTTGGGGCTAGAGAATAGAGAGCAAACACAGGCCAGAGACACCTCAGACAAGACCCTGAAGTCCAGTCCAGTCCATGAGGACTGCAAGTGGGAGCAAAGGGGAGCCACTGAAGTAGCTCTCACTGGGTACCAGCTTAAGGAGACCTTCACTTTTAAAGGATCATTCTGACCTCAGTGGGGAGAACAAAGAAGCAAGAGTGATGGGGAGACTGCCTGCCTCCTCACGAGGAAGCCTTGTGGTCCCACTGTCTCTACACGGCCCCTAGGCTTCACCTGCTCTTTCTTCCGCCACCATCTCTCTCCTCAATGATCCCCATGAGCAGATTCATAATCTCCATGGTCTCCTTTCCCATGATTCCTTTCTCCATGCCTATTCATATGCACTGATGTTGTCTTATTTTTGAAAGAAGAAAAAATCCTTCATTTAAGCATCCTGTTTCCAAGTAAAGTCACACTTTTGGGAGTAAATGTTCTATACCAGTTGCCTCCACTTCCTCAACGTGAAACACAAGTGCTGCTTAAATTCCTAGACTTAGAATACACCATTTTCAAAGGCCACTCAGACACGCGGTGGTTGTTTTTTCAGCATCTATGTCTTTGACCAAAGAGCCTCATATTTTCCCTGGGGAATCCATGAGGCTCTGGAAAATTATGGAATTGGAGCACATGACCTAGGTAGGCCAATCAGTGCACTGTATCTCCTGGTGGCAGTGACCAGTATAGGAGTGGTTACATGACCAATTGGAATTCTTAGGAGACAGTCTTCTTCTGAACATGGTGACCTGTGGATTTACACCCTTTTATTTAGCAGATCTTTAATCAGTTTTTATTAAGGCCCTGCACCAGCCTAGCTCTTCTTTGACCCTTAAAAGTCTCTCCTTTAGATCTTTCTCCTGTTTCCACATCCTAAACATGGGCATTTCCATAGGTTCTGTCTTCAAGCCTGGCTTGTTTTCTCCCCTGAAGAGTTAGTGTGGGTCTACCTTCCGTTATCTGTCAGTGTGACTCACATCCATGACTTCAGGTGTCTCTCACAAATCTTCGTCCTGCACTTGTTAACAGAATGCTAGACATTTTTTTTAAAAAATATGTTTTTATTGATTTTATAGAGAGGAAGGGAGAGGCATAGAGAGAGATAGAAACATCAATGGGAGAGAAATGTCATTGATCAGCTGCCTCCTGCAGGATCCCTCACAGGGGAACTGAGCCTGACACCAGGGCATGTGTCCTGACCAGGAATCAAATAGATGATCTCTTGGTTGCTGGGCCAATGCTCAACAGCTGAGCTATAGTGGCTGGGCCAGAATGCTAGACATTTTCATCCAGAGGCCCAACGAGCCCCACAAACCAAGTGTCTAAAATAAAAATGATCCACAACCAAACAAAAATGAGTAAAGAAAGTGAGAAGTCTATAGAAAAGGACTACGGATGTCCTTTAAACATATGGAAAGGTACCTAAACTTACCCATAAAGAGTTTTATGGTGAGGAGAAATTAAAACTTATATTTATACAAAAATTGGACATGAATATTTAAGCAGTTTTATTAATACTTGCCAAAACCTGGAAACAACCACAATGTCTTTCAGGAGGAGAATAGGAAAACTGTGCTACAATCATACAACAGAATATTTCTCAGCAATAAAAAGCAACCAACTATGGATGCAGCAACAGCTTGAAATCTCCAGGAAATTATGCGGAGAGGGAAGAAAACAATCTCTTAGGGCTACATATGGTATGGTTCTATTTGTATGAAATTCTCTAAAAGATGTACCTACAGTGATGGAGATGGAATCAGCGGTTGCCAGCGTCTAACAGTGGGGGGGGGGGGGGGGGGGGAGCATGTGACTATAAAGGGATAGCATGGGGGAATTATTTTGGGGTGACGGAACTATTTTGTATTGTGGGTGTGTCTACACAAATCTATATATATTAAAATTCACATAACTTTACACCCAAAGCAGTCAATTCCACTGTTAATTTTTTTAAAAAAAATAAAAATTAAAAAGCTAGTGTTCTCTTTGGCACTGAGTAACACTTCTGAGCGAACTGCTGCTGAGTGTAAAGTGGTGTGCCGGACCCTGAGGTTCCCAACGTGTCCCCTCCTCACCCCACCCCATGCTGAGAATGAGCCTCTCGCCTACCAGCGTAAACAAAAATCTGGAGGTGTGACAATATCCAGTTGATGAAACAGGAGAAGGGAAAAGGGACTTTGTTAATCATATGAATGCAAAATGGCACAACCCTTATAGGGAGGAACCTGGCAATATTTTTTAAAATTACAAGTTCATTTAACCTCCGACCCAAAATCTCACTCTGGAACTGGACCACACGGATACACCTGCCCACATCTGAAATGAGGCATTTACAAGCTGTCAGCTGTAGTTTGCTTGTAAAGGCAAGAGACTGGAAACGCCCAGTTCCACCTGTAGGAACCAGATCAATCTACCCATGGCATGCTCGCACGAGGAAGCTCCACAGCTGGAAAAGAGGAGGCGGCTAGGATGTGGAGCTTTAAAAAGCATGATATAGCCCATGTGGTTGAGCAGTGAGATTCCCAATCATTTTGGGCTCTATCCCCAGTAGGGGGCATGCAGGAGGCATCTCTCTCTCTCTCTCTCTCTCTCTCTCTCTCTCTCTCTCTCTCTCTCCCTTTTCCTCCCTCCCTCCATCCCTCCTTTTCTCCCTCCCTCCTTCTCTCCCTCCCTTCCTCTTTTTCTTTCTCTCAAAATCAATAATAAAACGCCCAAAGGCAATGCTGATATCAGTGAGTCCCAGTAGGAAACACTGAGAAATCGTAGCCTGCCTATCAGTCAGGGGTCAGAGTCCTGCGTGCTATGGGTTGGCTTAATCTATCATTCCAGGGTTTCTCTTGCCACTTTCCAATCTGAGTTTTCCACTGCAGTCAAACAGGTCTACCTGCTTTGCCTAAATGTGCCTCGTACAGGTTTATCCTCAGAGCTTTGCATTCCTTTATGTGCAGCACACTTGAACCATCCCTATCAGAACCTTATCAGTTCACCTGAGGCTCAGGTATCTCCATGGTTGCACATATTACTCCTTGTAATATTACTACTTGCTCAACATTACTCCAAAGGCCCTTCCCTTGTATTGCCTTTGCTGCAGGTCATATGTTCACAGGCTTTTCCCGAGTGGCTTATACATAACTCAGTCAGTAAAGACGAGCTCTGCTGTATGTCTGCACGATTCCTCATTCCAAGCTCAGTGTCTAACACGCAGCAGACATTCCGTCGTTGTGACTGGAGAATTTAGTGCCCTTTTAGACTGCGCATCCAGAGTATTTAACGTGCATTGCTCCAATACACAAAAGAAAAACTGCCTTCCTTCTCCGTCTTCCTCTGTAAACTGCAGTACTCAAACTCCCAGGCATCTGATTGGAATATTCATTCTAAAACGAATTCTGTTCATCTTCAATATACCAGGAGACTAGACTATTTTGGTCCACAGACTCAGCATTTGAGGCAAAAGTAATTTTAGTCAATGTGGCTGCTGGTGTAGTTTTTTTTTTCTTTCTTTCTTCTAGCCACACAGTTGAACTTTTAGCCATAAAAGGCAATAAAAAGATGTCTAGGTATTTCTGTAAGGAAAATACTTGAACCATCGCTCATGAGATTTCTAATTTGGGGCTCTAAGTTTTTAATAACAAACTGCTAAAAGACTTCTAAAAATAAGAACTGTAGTGCTTGAAACTTCTTGAACAATTTTTACATGGATTTTCTCAAGCTACTAAATTCACAGAAACCATAAAAGCTCACACATCTCTAACTTGGAATTG